TTTTAATTAATATAAATAATTATAGTTTAATGATGATTAATTAATAAAATTTGATTTGATATTATTTTTTATTCGAGTAAATATTTAATTTAATTTGTTATATTATTAAAAAAATATAAAAAATATCACTTAATTTTTTATGTCATCAAAAGATATATTTTTTTATTAGTGATGTAGGACCCATTTGAGTAGATTTGGTGCAATGTCATCAAGAAAACAAATTTCTTTATTAATGATGTGGGACCCATTTGAATGGATTTGGCACATAGTAACATGACATGTCAAAATATTTGTCCATGTCATCACTTTTCTAAATTTTGCTCTCCACATCATCAAAAAATAAAAAATAAAAAATGCCACATAAGCGAAGTTAACGGCTCAAATTAACAGAAGGACTAACGAAGTGCATTTTTTATAGTTGAGGGATCAAAAAAGTGCAAAAAATTGTTGAGAGATAAAAAATGTGCATTTCTTAAAGTTGAGGACCAAATTTAGCATTTAACCTTTAATTAATCCAATCGTTGCAGCTTTCTGACCATTTTATCTCATTCGTTCGGTCAATCTGATCATTGCAGTTTCTTAACCGTTTTATCTCATTCGTTCGGTCAATCCGATCGTTACAGTTTCCAAGCCGTTCTATCTCATTCGTTCGGTCAATCTGATCGTTGCAGTTTCTTAACCGTTCTATCTCATTCTTTCAGTTAATTCGATCATTGCGGTTTCTTAATCGTTTTATCTCATTTGTTCAATAAATCCGATCATTGTGGTTTCTTAATGGTTTTATCTCATTCATTCGGTCAATCTGATAGTTGCATTTTTCTAGCCTTTTTCTTTCAATTGTTCGGTCAATCCGATCATTGTGGTTTTTTAATCGTTTTATCTCATTCATTCGATTAATCCGATCGTTATGATTTTTTAACCATTTTATCTCATTCGTTCGGTCAATTCGATCATTGCACTTTTCTTAACCGTTTTTATCATTCGTTCGATCAATCTGATCATTGTGATTTTTTAGCCGTTTTATCTTATTCATTCGGTTAATCCGATCACTGCGGTTTTCTAACTATTTTATCTCATTCATTTGGTCAATCAAATTGTTGTAGTTTCTTAACCATTTTATCTTATTCGTTTGGTTAATTCAATTGTGGCAATTTTCTAGCATTTTGTCTCATTCGTTCGGTCAATCAGATCATTGTGGCTTTCTAGCTGTTTTATCTCATTCGTTCGATTAATCCAATTGTTGCGGTTTTCTAGTAGGTTTCTCTCATTCGTTCAGTTAATCCGATCGTTGCGGTTTCTCCGATCGTTGCGGTTTCTTAACCGTTTTATCTCATTCGTTCAGTTAATCTAATCATTTCAGTTTTCCAACCGTTTTCTCCAATCGTTGCAGTTTTCTAACTATTTTCTCTCATTTGTTCGATCAATCCGATCATTATGATTTTCTAACCATTTTATCTCATTCGTTCATTTAATCTAATAGTTGCAGTTTCTTAACCGTTTTATCTCATTCGCTTGCTCAATCTGATCATGCGGTTTTCTAGCCGTTTTTATCTCATTCGTTCGATCAATCCAATCGTTGCGGTTTTCTAGCCATTTTATCTCATTCGTTTGGTTAATCCGATCATTGTGGTTTTCTAACTGTTTTATCTCGTTCGTTCGATTAATTCAATTGTTGCAGTTTTCTTAACTGTTTTATTTCATTTGTTTGGTCAATCCGATTGTTGTGGTTTCCTAACCGTTTTTACTTTACTTGTTCGGTCATTTTTACTTTATTTGATTAGTTACTCAATAGTAAAAGAAGAAAAAAGAAAAAAATAACCGTTAAAAATTTTGAGTTATTCTTGTCTTTTTTTTTCATTCTTAACAGAAATAAAAAAAAAAAAGGGGGTAACTGTCATAACTCAAATTTTAGTAGAATTTTATTTTTATTTTATTTTTATTTTAACTGATATGTTTTGTTTTATTCTTCCTTGTTAGGTTCGTGAGTGAAAAAGGATTCTATGAGGAGGATTTGAAAAGGAGATGAATGAAGCTGAAAGAAAAGGGACTCAATTGAAGAAATCAAAAGTTGAAAGGAAGGAATTCATCAAGATTAATTTGCAAATCTAACACCAACCCATTTCAATTGAGCCTACTAAATTATCCAAACCTAAAACCCACAAAAAAAACTCAAAACCCAAAATCGAAAGCCCACAATTTACCCAAACCCAAAAAAAAAAAAAACCCAAAATCCAAAAACCCAACCCAATTAGTCAAACCCAAAAACCCATAAAAAAAAAGGGGGGGAGGTCTCGAGAATCAGCTTCATAAAGCCCTCTTTCATCTCCCGAACCAGTTTCCTCTCCCAATCAGCCACCTGTGCCCCCTGCTGCCTGCGCTCCTGCTTGCCTGCACCGAGCCTGGACGTTGCTGCGCCCCCTTTGCTGCACCCAAACCTGTACACTGTTGTGCCCTTGTTCTGCAATCTGCTCTGCGCCTTGTCTTGTTCTTCAGCAAGATGGCCCACACTTCAGATTAAAAAAAAAAAAAAAAATGGCTATTAGTCTACAGAAATCAACAGCTGTCTTAGGGCGCACACCAACTTTCTTGGCTGTTTTGCGGGGCCAGTTTTGGCCTCATCCGATCAACGGTGGAAGGAAAAAGAAGAAAAATTGAAGGGTTTGGA